TAGATATCATCGTCTTGTGGAGAAAACTTGCTCCTTTAATTAACAATAAAACATGAGCACAGGCGAGTGGTGAGGTGGAGAAACATTGGTCTGTTCATATTTTCATTCAGAATGGTTTAAATTGTGACTTGAAGACTAATATTTCTATCAACTTAACATACCAAAGAAGCCAACGTCGCAAGTCAGTGCGACAAGTTTTGACGAAAAAACTTGTTCATTATTTGCGACTGATATTCTACATTGATAGCAAATGAAATGTGACAGATTTATTCGAAAATTGACCTCCTGCTTTTGTTGCGAGCATGATACGTGTAGTTCTCATTGATTTTGTATATTTTCTCTAATTTGATGCACATTTTTCTTGTCGGATATAAAAGTGTTACTTTTATAGAAATCTATAAATATTCCGCTCACGAGTAACCAGCAGAACGAATCCACGCAATCAATCAATAACTTGTAATTATTCAAAGACACTTGAAGTTTTATTTTCATCAACTTTCCTTCGCTCTTTCCGATTCATTCCTGTATTTTTTTATTATCGGAAAGTAGCCTATAACAGCAAGATGTGGTGAAATTGATAACAGCGTGTTGATATGATTATATTTTTAGAAAATATTTCTTGCACGTAAAAAAGGATTATTTTCCATTTAGATGCATAGTATAGTAATCAACAAATGGCTCGTTTCCTTTCTTCTAATTTCAGTTTTCTTTTCGCATCTTAATTTTTGCTAAAAAAGGATGACTTCTAATCAAAGAAATGAATGTCTTTCAAATTTGATATGTAGCTGAGAAGAGTGAATGATGCGACGAAGAATTTTATGCAAAGTTCTGAGCAAAACGTTTATTAATTAAAATGGCCGTTATCAGAGGAAGTTTTGTTTTCTCTGATAACATTTCTTTGTAAGCAATTATTTCACGTTGACTGCCAATTATCACATCGCATTTTTTATTTCAGTAATTTGATAAGAATTACTCTTCATCAGTTCATCTATTGAATTATATATGAATTATCTAGAGCAACACTGTAGTCAATAAGAATTTGTCTCATCGTTACATCACCAATAGTTTTATTTGTTGAAAGTAATCATAATGAGAAAACTCATAATCTAGTCGTCAGTCATATCAAAGGCATCAGTAAATATGATTCTGTTGCTATTAATATGATTAACTTTTATCACATATATATAGATAGATCGTTTGGTCGATTGAGAGAGCAATATATTGTTATGTATACTAACATGTGTTTTCACTGGTGAAGACTAAAATTGTGAAAGATTCCATTCGAAGAGATCACATTAGCTCAAAAATGGCTATTTTTGAGCACAGATGTTATGCACAACGCTCAAAATTATGAAAGTTAGTGTGCAAGAATTGAGAAACAAAAAGTGTTATTATGCCTTTCAATTATTTTATTAAAAAATCAGTTGCAAAAAAATTGAGAATGTTCCCGGAAATCGTCATTATATTAGCGTATTTCCGCCACTGATAGCAAATAACGTGCCGGAAATGGAGTTTTTTTTGTTTCATATTTTGGCAATGTGAAAGGCTCCCAACCTCAAGTTCCGAGTTCTTGTAATATTTTTAGCTTTACATATCCTCTTCAAAATATCTCATTAAGTAACGATTTGCTTAATCGATTAATGACAATAAAGAATTGGTATAATTTGATTTTTGTGGGCTTTATCTGGAAATTTAGTTCAATTATTTTCGTTTTGCGAAGAATATCAAAAGAAAGCTCATCAGTCAGCATAGATCAAATAATCTTTATACGATACTTACTTATTTCTTTAAGCTTACTAAAGTTGTGATTTTTGTAGTTCTGTTTATGGTAATACTTTGCCAAGTAAAATGAATGTTGCAAGTAATTCTGATGAATCACTGAAAAATATCTGTCTACAACTTGTCATGTTTGGTAGTCACAGGATATCCCGAAGTGCTGCTATGAAGAACACTTTAATACATTCTAAAACCACGTACATCTCTATTCTCTACAGCATGTTTGAAGCTGACTTGTGAAGTGAATTTGTATACACCTCTGAAAATTTTTGTCTTGATATTAACTTCTACATACCGAAGTAATCAGATATTTTTTCCGAGCAGTTTTGTTTATTTTCGCTGTGAGACGATAAAAACTTGAAGAAAAGTTTCAGCTTTTTGGTTGATTTTTAATAGAACAATGGCACAAGCAAGGATTTTATTGAAGCGTAACAGAAGATAATTGTATTGAAATTTCACTTCTTACCGATTAAATAGCACAGTCAACAATGGAATATTGCTATAATTTTATTGGCTTTTCGTGTAATTGAAATAATTAGCAGTTAATAGCATTGTAGTTGCTTGGTACTTAACTGCAGTTGCTATAGTAATGATAATGAAGTAATAGAGAGTGCTGAATGTGTTGCATTAGTTATATCAATGAAGTCCTTATTTGTTTTAAGAAATTTGAAATCTATCCAATATTTAAGTTCTCAACACAAAAACTTAATTCGTAAATATACAAAAGCACATCATAATTTTAACTTGTAGGCATTATTATTGCTTTCAAAATAACGAGTGCTGCATACAGTTTACATTGATATTTGATACTTGTTTTGATTTGAATAAACATTTTTGCAGTATTTGCTTGAAGGATCATATATATCATTTATCAAAACTTCCTTTAAACCTCCGAGTTGACAAGTTCTGCTTTGATGGTATTTTGTAAAAAACTTTTGTCAACTTTGGTTCAAAAGGACGTAAGTAGTAATGTACTGAGCGAAATGGAATCGAGCTTGTAGAGAATTGAATGAGCAAAAATTATTTGAAACTGAGTACTCACTGTAATGCATTGATAATTTTATTTTTAATTTGGTAGCAATATTTATGAGAACTTACACAGGTGTGGTAACGATAGCTATCGTGATAATAGCAAGACATACCGATGACATCGAATCCTTCTAGAGCTCCTTTACCTGAGTACTCCCGCAGATATTTCAGTGCGTTCTTTCAGCGTTAGCAAAGTATAATTAGTAGTGCTTTAACTTTTGGGACTTACTTTCCTTGAATGTTGTTGTTGAATTGGTCATGCGAAACAGTAAGCTCTAGACCTCCATGTGTGTTTGTTCACATTGGTAGTACTGAAATCATTTTTCTTGCAGTCACAAAATTCGTTTTGTAAAGTATTTTTTGTGAATTCAGGTTTTAATAAGTATATGTATGGTTGGTATGGTATGATGCTCACAGTAGTGATAATGGCGTTTTGTGGTCAAATTTGAAGGACGCATATTGGCATTTTATTATCTTGTACAAGGATTTGTATGCATGTATTTATGTGCGTTGAGATATGTGTGCGTGTGAGTGCATATTTGTACGTGTTTTTGTACGCTAATTGTACGCGTGAAAAAATTTTGCGGGAAAAGAATTCGTACATGCAACCTCATACATGTGTCTATGTTTGTAAATATGTGCATATATATGTGTGAGTGCTTTCCAAGGCCATTTCAGAGGCCATTTTCGAGCAAAATAATGAAAAAGGTGTGTGTGTTTGTACGTATACATATACATATACATATGTGTATGTTTATATGCATGTAAATTTAATGGTTTGCATACTTTTACTTCTACTTAATATTTCACTAAAAACACACTATCTTTTTAGCCACTGATTTGAAAAGCTAGCTTGCTCACATTTTATCATTTTTACAATGTAGAGTTTTCAACCGCTTACATATTTCCAATTCGCAGTAAGTGATATGACGTGAGTTTTTTGGAACTGACTATTATTGTTATCATTCCATCATGCTGGTAAACTCATCGCATCCAAAGTTTTCTCGTTTAAATTCTGCTTAAAGTCTTCAAGTAGAAATATAATGACTGTATGCTTGGCATGGGTTAAAAAAAGCGCTAAACTTTATGAATTGCCAGTGAGAACTGAACTTGCGCACCTATTTCCGTAAATTCCGTATTGATTAGTGTAATAGTTTTGTAAGGGACAGTGTATGGAATTTTGTTTGAAAATAGTATTTAACGATATAGAAAGTCAGTTTTACCTGGAAATAAATGCTGAGCAAATTACATGTTAAATATATTAGTATTAATATTATCGTTATGCAACTATCAGCAGCGATTTGCAAGTACTACAGACTATTAATTTGACCCGAACAGGACAGCGTGTCGAAATTGAACTGTAATCGAGTGAGTAAATGAATGCGTTTCTGAAATGAGTTGCAGCTAGTGAAGTTGTATCGAAGACGTACATACTTGCAACGGTTTGCTATTGCAAGGATTGTCGTCGATTTGTGACCTAAATAACTAGCGCCAAGGCACTTTATCGTTCTCTCATAAATTTATTTTACAACAGCGTTTTAATTCTAATTCAGAATACTTACACACACGCATACACACACGTTAATATACAGTTCTGACCAATGTGATACAAATCTTGTCGCTCTATTTTCTGCGCACTTTTTCTCGAAAAGAAATTAATTATTCTTCATCTCGCTCACTTTTTTATCACAACGTACACATTCAGCTACTGGTCACTTGATTATGTGTAATCTCTTTGACAGTTTTGGCGTAACTTGACATCTTATTAGTTCGATGTTTGAATTTTCGATTTTAATACGGAACATTTAAATATTTCTCGGAAAAAATATTCTCATCATATTTTTCGAACACACTGAGATATTTTCTTGAGTATCGAACTCGTTATGAGACGAAACATTTCGTAAACCCATGAAATTATGTGTTGTCAGTAATGGCAAATTTCCTTTCTATATTTTTTGTTTTACACTTTAGGCTCATCGAATACTTTTTGTACGTGAAGGTTAATTTTAATCGAAAATGTGTATCTTCTTTGAAATATGTTTTTCCTAAATTTTTTACTGAAATCGCATTTTCATGCTTGCAATATTTTCACTACATTACTTGTTTTTTAATGCAGAATGTTTCTAGTGACACGTACGTGTATCGAATAATTTTACTTGCTAATTCGTTTTGCGAGAGATCAAAGTAAGAAGACGATGAAAGAACAGCTTTGCAGTAAGGCATCAGTTTTCAAATGCAATCGTTTTGTTCTTGGTATGCATTTGTTTTACTGCAAATAAATTATTACTTTTTTGGTTTAGCAATTGCTCTTCAAGCAGACGAACTGTCTGCTTGAACAGTACCATATTCAACTGAGCAGCGTGAAAATATTTATCTTTCTCGCTTGGCTGTGGACAAGTATTTTTAAAATATCGAATACAAGTAAGTTCACGTCTATTTTGTAATAGGTATGCTGTATAGTGTTGCTCATTCATAATAATTTTAACAGTGCTATTATCAAAGCACAATCACTATTATTATTATGATTTTGACTATCATTTTTAATAAATGAAAGGATAAATTACAGTATTGCTTTCATCCTTGATTTGTTGCAACTATTACATCTCTTTCTCATATCAAATTTCATTTTTTAAACAAATCACTTTTATGCTCCTTCTTCTGAATACTTTTATGAATACAAATAAGCTTTCTAATTCCTCATCAGATAGCAACAAAAACATAAATTATGTCACTATAAAGTGAATTTCATGTCCGTTCCAAGCAAATGGATTAGCAATAAAATTTAAAGTTTATTTTTAGATCCATAAAAATTAGTGCGTAATAATGATACTTTCAATGAATAAATATGGTTCTAGCGTTAATTCAATTGTTTAGTTTCATGTCAATAATAAAGGAATATTCAAGGATTCCCGACTTTTAAAGATACGTTTATTTAGTTGCTATGTGATGTATAGCGAAATATAAGTACAAAGTGCTCAAGCTGGAGACAAAAGACTTCAAGGCTATAGATCACGTTATCAGGCAGTTACTAATCAACAACAGGATTCACAAGCAGCCTGCACGCTTGGAAATACTGTACCTGCTAAGGACGAGCTAGGACGTGCACTTCATAATGTTGAGCAGAAGAGTGAGCTTATACTTCTCCAACTACATAGTGTCCTTATAGTGATCGCACCAATTTTTACCAGAAGGACAACAATTTTGAAGCAGGAGAAAGCTCATCTCACGTAATTGGCAATTATTGTACCCCATCTAAAGACTAAGCACAACCTCGCAGAAAATCCTACCGTTGAAAACGTATTAGCAGCCCAAAGGGGCAACGATGTTTGCCAACGTTGTGGGGAACGTGTGAAGACGGTGGACCATCTAGCAACGCAGTGCGAAAAAATGTTACATCATGACTATACTCAAAGACACAATGAGG